AGGTCGCGACAGGGTCGTCATGCCCTCAACGGCCGCCTGCGGCGTCTGCAAGAACTGTCTCTGTGGATTCACCGGCTCTGTGTCACCGTCAAACCCGGGATTCGCCGGCGGGGCTACGGTTTTACGTTGCGATGGGCCCGTACCGGCCGGACAGGCGAAGTACATCAGGGTCCATTTCGCTGGACTCAAACTGCATCGGTCCTCCCGCGGGAGGATGAGCAGAACGAGGCGACTATGCGCTCCTCGCCGACATCTTCCCGACGGATACCATCGGGCGCGAGCTGCGCGGGCGTGAAGCCGGGAGAGGGAGGAGAAAAGAGAACAGGAGGGAGAAAGAGTCGCGCTCACGGAGCCGGTCCGGTGGGACTGAGGTGGCGCATATAGCTGCGTGATCAGAGGGGCCGCGGAAGTCTACTCGGTCGACCATGTCAAGGAGCGGCTGGACAAGGCCGAAGAGATAGGCGCCATCCCCATCAACTACGACGAATCGGACCCGGTCCAGCAGATCAAAGATCATTGCGAGGAGGGCGAGGGGACGACAATGGGCATAGATGCCGTCGGCTACCAGGCGGCCCCACAGCGCGGGCCGTACCAGCCGCGGAGCGCGCAGAGAACAAAGGACGAGTCCAACATCGTCCTGAACCAGCTGATCGACACCGTCGCCCCGACCGGCTCGCTCGGTATCCCAGGCCTCTACGTTCCATCCGATCCGGGCGGCGTCGACGAGAATGCGAAGAAGGGCGCCCTGTCGATCAACTTCGGTCGGCTCTTCGAAAAGGGCCTCCGGCTCGGTACCGGCCAGTGCAACGTCAAGCAATACAACGCCCACCTCCGGGACCTGATCACGGTGGGCAGGGCCAAGCCCGGCTTCGTCGTCTCGCACGATGTGTCGCTGGACGGCGCGGTAGACGCCTACGACAAGTTCGACAAGAGGATCGAAGGCTACACCAACGTTGATGCATCCACCATAGGTCTGCTTGTGCTCCCTTCGTGAGGACAGCGGCGTCGTCAGTCTGCTTGCAGTATTCAGCAGTTTCCGAACCGGGGTGTGCAGAGGGGCGGAGCCCCTCGCCGGGAGTCTGAGGGTGTCCTCAGAAATAATCTATTCCCGCTTCCTGATGGGAAGAGGGAGGGAGAAATCGCATCGGAATCGCGAGAGAAGAGAAGAAGGAGGCTCTCTCGACGGGGCTTCCTCAAAGGAGTGCCCCTCGGAATCGCCGCCGTGGTTGGCGTGAAATGATTGTTTTGGCTTTTTCCTTTTATGTCGCGGCGCGGCTGGCCTGCCTCTTTTGGCCACCCGCACCGGAGCCGGGGCGCGGGGCCTCCGTGAAGGACTCCATCTTCACGCCCGCTCAAGACCGCGACCGGCCGGCCTAGCCTCTGCGGTTCCTCCCTTGACTGAAACGTCCATTCCAGTGTCGCGGATGCCGTGACAACGGATTGGGTACCGCCGCGCATCTACTCGGACCCGGCACGAGCAGCCCGCCACCCCAGGTGTGCAGGACACATGATGCCCACATGATCGGCTACCTCGATCCGGACTTTCTGCTGATCATGGACGAGGTTTCAGCGAACTGCTCAGGACGGGTCTTCAGACGACGAGAATCAGACACTCGCATGTTCGGGCACCGTGGCGCGACTCAAGCCGGGATGGAGGCGGGCCTGTCCAGCCTCCTGGAGCCCGGAGACACCGTCGTCGTATGCGCCAGCGGCTTCTTTTCCGACCGCATGATAGACATGGCCGGAAGGCTGGAAGCCAACGTCGTAGCGCTCAGGTCGGAGTGGGGCCAGCCCTTCCCAGCCGAGATGCTGGCCGACGAGTTGAAGAAGCACCCGAAGGTCAAGCTGGTCACCGCCTGTGGCACGCCGAGACCTCCACTCTCGCATAAGACGCCATGGACGACCTGGCAGCGCTCACCAAAAGGAGCCGACGCGCTGTTCATGGTGGACGCCGTCACGTCGTTGGGAGGCAACGAGGTCGCCGTCGACCGCTGGTGCCGACATACGTTTATTCGGCTACGCAGAAGTGCCTCGGCTGCCCTCCCGGCCTCTCACCGGTGGCGCTCAGCCCCCGCGCTCACGAGGTGGTAAAGTCGCGCACAAACAAGCCGTCGTCGTGGTATAATTCTGACCTCGCCCTCATTGCCAATTACTGGGGCTTTGACCACGTGTACCACCACACGGCCCCGGTCAGCATGATCCTGGCTCTCAGAGAGGGCCTCCGCATCGTCATGCCGAAGAGGGGCACCGAAGCGCGGTTCGAGCGGCATAGCAGGAACGCCTCGGCGCTCCGGGCTGGTCTTGAGGCCATGGGACTGGAGTTCGCCTAGCCGGAGGGACGACCGTTCTCGACAGATACTCCTTCTGGGTCCCAGAAGGCCATGGATGAGGGCCCCGAGTTGCGGCGAAGGCTCCTGAGTGAGTCACGAGGATAGAGGTCGGACGAGGCCTCGGCCAGTTCGCGGGCAAGGTCATAAGCGCGTAGGCTGAGCGCGAGAATCGGCAGCCCGAGCATTTGGATCGCACTGCTGTAGGCCATGGAGAGGATACTCCCCCGCTCGGATACGGAGACGGGGCGGCGGGGGCGGGCGTCGGTGCCGCAGCGCCGTATTCGCTGCCGAGAGCGGTAGCGTCTAGCTCTCCGCGGCCTTCTCCAGGACGCGGACACGCCGTCACCTACGCTGCCGAGCGCGCTCCGTTTCACCGGCCGCCAGGATGCCCCGCCGGCCCTAGGACCCGGCTGCCTGCAGGCGGGGACTGATCTCCTCCAGCGGGAATGAGCACGGCGTGCACTCTCCGGTCACCTCCAACTCAACCTCGCCGACGGACAGACTCCGGCCCCGTTGCAGCTCTGAGGGTAGTCCTCGAAGTGGTGACGTTCTGCCCACTCGCCTGGCGGCGAGGCGAAAAAAAAAAATCGGCAAGGGTCTCGCGATCCATCAGAAGCACCTGGCGGGCGTTGTTGCTGCCCCGCCCGGCGTGCCGGTCGCCCTCGATGCCGTGACCCTCGATCATCTTGGCGGTCCGGACCGGGCTCATCGGCTCCCGGTGTCCAACGCAGAGCCACAGCCCAACGACCTTCCCCTCCGTATCGGACGGATGTCAATGCCAACCCATGATAGCTAGCTGCCGCCCGCGCCCCCCCCCCCCCCCCCCCCCCCCTGACGATACACCAGCGCCCCCGACCATTCAAGAACGCTGTGCCTCACGTGTACCCACTTTGTAAGGGCCAATCCTCACATCACACGAATCTTCGGTCTTGACAAACAGAACGCCTGTCCGCATAATGTTCTTATGTCCCGATCCCCTTCCAGCATTGCAGTGCAGAGCCCGATCCGTACTCCATACGGGAGCCTGCCTCCCGGACTGTCAAGTAAATGTCCAGTAAGGGTACGAAAAGAGTCTGGTCAGTTTGTGTCCAGGGAGTGTCCAGTATCTGACGTCCGAGTGGGAGCCTCCAGCTATGAGATTGTACGAAAGTGGACAGTTTCAGCAGTTTTCGGCGAAGGCTACGAACCCCGAGTCCCGCATACTCGATACCTGGAAGTTAAAGTGGGTACGCGTGAGGGGCTGCGCACACCCCACCGTCCTCGGTGCTATAATCGCCGGGTCAGGAGGTAAAGCGCGATGGCGGATTGCAGTCCACGTTGGGAAGCGGCGGTTCAGTACGAAAGTAGTGGTCGAATGGGAGGACTTGCCGCCGGGCTACTCCTGGACCGATGACGCGCGGTCGCCGTGACTCCAGCGACCAGGGTATACTCTTAAACAGGGGGCGACCACCCGATGATCGTGTTCGACTCAGACGGCAACTTCCTGTCGTCCTGGGGCGAAGGATATCTTCTCCAAGGCTCACGGCCTCACGATCGGGCCCGACGATATGCTCTACTGCACCGACGACGGCGACCACACCGTCCGCAAGTGCACGCCGGACGGCAAGGTGCTGATGACCATCGGAACCCCCGGCCACGCCACCGAGCCGTACAGCGGAGAGCCGTTCAACCGCTGCACCGACGTAGCCCTGGACCCGCAAGACCGGGAGCTGTAAGTCTCGACGGCTACCTCAACGCCAGGGTGCACAAGTACTCACCCGACGGAAAGCTGCTCTTCTCCTGGGGCGCGCCGGGCACCGACCCGGGCGAGTTCAACATCGTCCACAACATCGCTACCGACAAGGACGGCTATGTGTACGTGGCCGATCGGGAGAGCCACAGGGTGCAGGTGTTCGACCGCAACGGCAAGTACGAGACCCAGTGGAACAACATTCCACGCCTCATGCAACCGCTAGTGTCTGATGAACAGGGAGGTCTAGGCGCGGAGCTTGGGTGGGGCATGAAGGTCAACGAGATTCATCCCAACATCGGGCCGAGAATCACCGTCTTGAACACCAAGGGCGAGCGCCTCGCCCGGATTGGCCACATGGGGTCGGCTACGACGTGGCCAGTTCGAGCACCGACCCAACAGCTTGTGCTCGACTCGAAGGGCGACCTCTACGTGGGAGAGGTCGCATGGACCAACGCCTCGAACCAGGGAGTCGCGGCCGACGGCGTCCGGAGTTTCCAGAAGCTGTCTAGACGTGGAGCAGTGAACCTAGTCTCAGAGGCGGGCATAGCGTCGAAGGAGGCGTCAGATGGCAACGCATCACCGCATGCGGTCGCGTCCGCCCAGATGGCCCGACGCACGCGTCGCGTCCTTTCTTGCGGTTTCTCCGACGAGCTGAGGGCAAAGGCAACCTACCACTACCTCGACGGCGAGCGCGTATTCTGGTACTACCCTGCCGCGTGAACTGCACCGCTGTGCCGCTTAGAGACAGTGAGCTTGCCAGCCCAGCGCGAGGGCTGGCCCTCGGCTGATGGGCCAGCGGCCTAAACGAGAGGTCGAAGGCGGGGCGAATCGCCAGGCAGATCATCGGCCTCGAGGCGGTCCTCGCCGAGATAGAGCGGGAGCAGGGGCTGAAGACATTCCTCCGCACCCGGAGCTGTACTACTTCACCGTCTTCGGAGAGCCCGGCGGCGTGGACCCCTGGGGCTGGCGCGCTGAGGGTCACCACATCTCGCTGAACTACAGCAATCCTATCTCTGGGGCGCGAGGTGATGCTCGTGACGCCCTTCTTCTTCGGGTCGAACCCCGCCAGGGTGCCGAGCGGCCCGCAGGAAGGGCTGCGCATCCTGAGCCGAAGGGAGGACCTCGCCCTGGAGCTGGCGGCAGCCTGGATCGCAGCCAGCTCTCGAAGGCCGTCATCTACGAGGATGCGCCCTACGACATCGTCACCTACAACTCCACCCGAGCCAGTTTGCCGTACGAAGAGGGGCTGCCAGCCTCTCGGATGAACGGGACGCAGAAGGAGATGCTGACGGCGCTGGTCGAGGAGTACGTCAGCCAAACGAGGGACGACGTTAGCCGCGACCGCATGGACGCCGTGATAGCCGAGGGGATCGACCGGCTGCACTTCGCGTGGGGCGGCCCCGTCGACGGCTCTATACCCCACTACTACCGGATACACGGGGGCGACTTCCTGGTCGAGTTCGACAACTACCAGAACGGCGCCAACCACATCCACTCGGTCTGGCGTGACGTGCACAACGACTTCGCCACAGACGTCCTGAGCAAGCACCTACTCAACTACCACGTGTTGTAGTGCACTCCGGCGTATCATAGGCCCAGAGATCCGTCTTGGTCGGCGTCTAGCAGCGCTTGCCGGAGCAGGCCTCTAGTAGTCTACGCAGTGCTGCTTGCCGAAGCCGTAGTGGTCCAGGACGTGGCCGGCGCCGTACCGTCCTGGGATCGGCAGCTGCTCGGCGTACCAATTCGGAGACGCCCTCCGCGTGCTGCCAACGACCCGTTCGACGGCGGGAAACGGGCCCGCGAGCACCAGTCCCGGTGCTAACCACCGCTTCCATCTCGGAAGGGTGATAGAGGAATGGAGGCACCTTGCCGTCCTCGTTGTCCTCTTCTTCGCTGATCCACACGGTCTTGATACCCAGGCGCTCAAGGGCTTGGACGGTACGTGCCGACGACACGTACTGAAGGCCTCGCACCTCGTTGGTAACGACGGCACCTGTGGCTCCCAGTTGCTTCGCGGCCTCGGCGGCACGCTTGCCGACGAATAACATCTCCTCCTCGCTGTGCCAGGGCTGACGGAGGATGATGCAGCTCAGGAAGTTGAGCGTCTTGCCGTGGCGCGGGCCATGCCCAGCACGAGCGGATTGTTGGTGAGCGGGCCAGGAGCAGTGTCCTCGCCCGCCGCCGGTGATGGCTCCATCCATTAGCTCGGTGGGCCACAGGAGCCACGGCGCCGACAGCCGGGTGTGCCCGTAGACTGCGGGCCCGCTGTATAGACTGCGGTCCGTGGTTTTGCTCGGGGCTGGTCAGCAGACAGACGAAGACCATCCCGGGAAGAGACCGG